TTTTTAAAAGGCATTATAAGGAAAATATATCCTGTTTGGTACGTCTTCATACGTTTGCAAGTAATAACTACAATTATTTACAATTTACATCCAAATATAGCATATAAACCACATTGTAGGAAATCTATACATAGGCCAGCATGTGATCATCCAGAGCCCCATTCTCTGTCTAAATCAAGTGAGGATAGGTATGTGTGAATTGTAGTGTCCTTAATTATTTATAAATTTGCATAGTTTGAAACAAACATTTGTAATCTTTCATTTTGGCTTACTGATTTGCATGTTGCAGAAGATGGAACAGTCTTGAGCAGCTAATGTTTGAATTATACATGTATGCAATATTCAGAAAATGTAATGACTTGATATTATAGATCAGGGGTTCTCAAACTTTTTCAGCCATGGAAAGAAAAGTTGAAACAAAAGTTTCTCGTGCAGCTCCAAAAATATTTATAATATTATATATAATGTGTGTGTGTGTGTGTGTGTGTGTGTGTATATCAGGCATGGGCAAACATTTTGATGCATTGTATTTTAAAATTTGACAGACGGAACAGGCCATTGACAGATAGCTGGAGAGTGTTTGTGTGAACTAATTAGGAAAAAAACATGAACAAATTCCTATCCATATCTCGTTTGTAGTGTAAAAAAAAGGATAGAAAGAATAGAGAACAATACAACATTTTAACCAACATTAACTTAGCAATATTTCAGTGGAAGACCCCATGGGCCATCCAGTCCAATCCCTTTCTGCTATGCAGGAAAAGCACAATCAAAGCACCCCCAACAGGTGGCCACCCAGCCTTTGTAGTAACAACAATAATAATAATAATAATAATAATAATAATAATAATAACAACAACAACAGATACCCCAGAGGACATCCAGTTCAGCTTGTTTGTGGACTTCCCATAGTCATCTACCCAATGGTGAAATGGACACTGCACTGGATAGGTTTGAATCAGTACAGCTATTGTGTATAATGTACTACAAATGAGATATGCACAATTAAAAATGGAAAGCATTTCTAAGAAGTGGCAGCTAAAACAATATTTTAAAACTTTGTTCTCTTCATTACTAAATTGCGATAGGGGAAAACAGAGGCAATACTGTTTTGCATAGTTAGTTTGTTTGATTTTCTTTATTTATTTTCTTTTTATTGCTCTCCCCAAGTATCCTTTAACTATTAAATTGAGGTATACATTTAAGTACAGATGGAATTAAATGAACATGAAAGAATATGTGTTTCATTTCACTTTAAGAAAATAAGTCTTTTATTCACAGCAAACAGTTTGCAGGTATTAATTTACCAATAGTTTCTGTTATATTAGACTCTCTGATGCTGCACTAAACTATACATTTAGCCCTCCACATTTCAAAATAAGCATTCACAGCTATGATTGTTTCCCGGTTACTGTATTTGCTACCACTTCCATTTCAATGACACTGATGTCACTGGGAGGAAATAAAATTTGTATAATGTCTGGGCTTGGCTGCTCACATATGCAGGCAGAAGATGAAGAAGGGGATGAGATGGGTGAAGAGTTTTCATTCATGTGAAGGAGAAGGAAATGAGACCGGTGTCCCTGTTCCTCTTCCCACTCCTTCTCCCATCCCATCCCCTCTCTTCTTCCCAGCCACCTCACAAGTACATGTGCATTGTGCGAGTGTGGTTTTTCATTTTTATGACAGGTTTCTTTCTCTAACCTTCACAAAAGTGGATAGCTGTTTGTACAATAAAAATATTTTAGAGACCGGCAGTTACTATAGTCAATAAGCTGCTAGTATTTTACTATATAGCTACTCTTTGGTTTAATCATCATTCAGATAGGGATTAAATTCCTGGGGAGGGCTGTTGCTCTGCTTCTCTTCTTGGATTCATTCTTAAATGGACATATATGGTATTCTCTTTGTCTGTCTTTATATGAGGTACTATGTGTTTTTCATCACATATTGTTTATTTAATTGTTTTAATCTTAAATTGTTAGTACAGTTCTGTTAGTATAAGTCAGACCGTCAGCTCATTAATCATTTAATATAAAACATGGCAGTCTGCTTCATAACAGAATGTGTAATAGTTTGTCCCTTTCAAGGACATATCTGAAGATACTAGGAAAGTAAAGCTAAATTGTTTTGCTAGTTGTTTTTTTTACTGATTATTCAAGAATGTTTTTGTTATGAATCTATGCACCCCAAGAGTCTTTCAGAACTATAACAACAATAATTCATATAAAACCATACTGATTATGGAATTTTATTCATCAATGAGAAAGTTTTAATGAATGATGAAGAAATTAGTGTATTTTAAATCTGTTTTGCATATATGCAGCTCACTCCACCTTTAGTGTAACTGTTAATTGCAATTATTAGTTAGTGATTTGAGAATTGGACCACAGCTCTGGAAGTCAGTGTTCAAATCTCTGCTCAGCCACATATTCCATGCATGACAACGAGAAAATTATAACCTCTCAGCCTCAGAGGAAGCCAAAGACAAACGTTGTCCGGAACACCACATGATAGCTTCACTTTAATGTTGTAATATGTCAGAAATGACTTGAAGACACATAACAGCAACAATTATTATAGACTTACAACATTAAATCTTAACTGCCAGTGCTTATAGCATTCTTTTGTCATCTGAGAACTGTGAAAACACTGAGTTAATGATTTATCCAGTTAGACTTTATTGGAGTTTTTTTCTTGTAAATATGAGCCATGTGATCCTTGGTACTCTCCAGAGTTATACATTTGGAAGATGAATTAAAGCAGTGGTTCTTAACCTGTGGGCTGCAGACCACCAGTGGGCCACGAGGATAAAAATCTGGTCCATTAACCTCCTTCCTCTATTTTTATTTTATTTTATTTCCACTTCTTTTTCGCCGCCTGCCACTCCTTCCCTGTTGCTGACCAGCCCCTCCCTCTTGGATAGACCACATCAGCTCTAGATTATTAAATATGGTTTTCTGTGGGCAAGCAGATGGCAACTACTGGATGGCATATGTTCTGTATCAGAAACTATTGCTGATGTGATCAATCCAATGCGGTTTTCTGAATCAGCACCCCAAATAACCAAACCAAATCTAAAGTTGAACAAAAACTGATTTGTAACCCTTTCGGTGCTAATGTTGGAGAGTGGTCCCTGATCAAAGTGATCCTTGGTTAAGTGGTTCCTGGTCAAAAAAAGGTTGGGAACCACTGATTTAAAGTTTTCTTTATGTTTACAGTGGTATTCATAGTTGAAGTCTGGTAGTGGAACATAATGAATATAATAGTTTGATAAGATGATACAAAGCTAAAAATATTCCATTGCAGACTAATTTAATTGTTGTGATGGGTAATAGTTCTTGTTTAAGTCATCATCTTGGTAATTAACAGGTGTGAATTTCTTGGTATCATTACTTGTATTATTAAACATTTGTAGGTTAATAAATTGTATAAATAATTATTTGCTTTTGTCAGTGTTTATGGTTCAGTATTCTTTTTTTTTGTACCCCTCATCTACATTTGAAAAAAATCAATGTAGAAATGAAATATAGTATCTGCACTGGGGTAGGCAAACTTTGACCAATGGACTACATGTGGACTTTGGTGCCCCTAAGTACGCCTCTTAAAAATCCTAGACTAAAATAATTACAATTTGGACAATTTTGAGTTATTTTATGTGACCTAAAAACCACCTAGATGTGTCCATACCAGAGTGGTTTGCTTTCCTTGATCCCACAGATCCTCCCTATTTCCTCTAAGCACATAGGAAATTAAGTAAATTTGGTAAAAAAATTGGTTGCTGTAGGGTTTTTTGGGCTATATGGCTATGGTCTAGAGGCATTTTTTCCTGATGTTTCTCCTGCATCTATGACAAGCATCCTCAGAGGTAGTGAGGCAAGCATCCTTAGAGGTAGTGAGGCAAGCATCCTCAGAGGTAGATATCTGTGGACAATTTCAACAGAAAGGAGGAAACCATGAAAATGAATAAAATCTGGCTACAAAGAAGAAAAAAACCTCACTACCTTTGAGGATGCTTGCCATAGATGCAGGCGAAACGTCAGGAAAAAATGCCTCTAGACCATGGCCATATAGCCCGAAAAAACCTACAACAACCCAGTAATTCCGGCCACGAAAGCCTTCGACAATACATTGGTAAAAAATGTTAGAAGTAGCATTGCATCACTTTGAGCACTAGGAGGGTGCAGGGTGGAAAAAATTTCCTCCTGCATAGTTACTGACCCCTTCTGTACAAACTTTGAGAGCAACATTGTCATAAGGATAAAAGATTTAAACTTCGTCTTTTCTTTGCTTATCCTGGGCATTAATGATTTAGGGAAATTGCAGTATTACAATCCACTTTAAATGGTAACTCCTATGCAAGAAACATAGGTGACAACTGTTAATTACAGTTTTTATGAAGGTAGATAAGCTACCTTACCTGTTACCAGAGTTGAATCTTGGACTGAATTGAATATTTGAGCAGAATGCATATGCAAACTGCTAAGGCATTTCTTGATTTCTGTTTTCAAAGAGGAGTTTATTAATGTTCCTCATTTTGCCTCAGTTTTTATTGTCTGACAAATCCATTCTGGCTCTAAATTATATTAAATGTTGGTCTTCTACTAGCAGAGACTACATGAAGTCCTGCTGGGGAAATATATAAGTTGTCTACAGGTTAAACTGTAATACTGAATAAATGCTTTTATTCTTTCTGGTGGACATAATTTGAAAGCAAGATAATTTATTATGACACTAGTGCTACCCTGCCTAATTTAAGCAACAGTCAAGTAGTTTTTTTAAAAGAAAGATTACCAAACATCAAATGTACAAACACTGGATTGACTTAAGATATGAAAGTGTGACATTCTTTCGTTTTCTTTTTCTATTTATTAATCTTTTAAAAGGGAATTTAGAGTGTTCTGTATTCTTTTCCTGTTTCCCCTTACTCCACTCCCAAATTTACATACACTTAACTACCAATAATTTTTAAGCTCTCCTTTTTTTCCCCCTTGCCCCAGGTCCAGCAAGACTATGAATCTCTGTTCCAAATGCTTTGCTGGTAAGTGCAGTGTAAAGGTTTGGTTTTGAGGTTTTTCCCCTTCTGCCATTTAAAAAACACACATCTAAATCACTTGGCAACACCCTCCTTGGAGATTATGTGTGGGCATCTGTCTCTCAGTATGTGGGCATGAAATCAGATTCTCCTTACTCTGGTGTTTTATTTATTTACTCGAGTTTGTTGAAATAATCTCCAGTACGTGTAAGAGCAAGGGCCTCTTGTGTACAGGCACCAATCAAGCCTTCACTTGGTGAATTTACAGAATGCCCTTGAATTGGACAACTCCCATCAGAGTGACTTGCGTTAAGAGTTTAGATTACTGGTTCATAATGTTGAGTTCAGTGAGACAGGGCTTGATTATGTTCAATAACGCTGAGTGGTCTGTTTTTAACTACTGTAGTATCTGGAAAAATATTCTTGCTCCCAAGCATGATGTTCTACTCATAGAATATTGAACTATGTTAATAATGATGGAGATAAATCTATGTCCCACATTATAACTATACATTTTTATTCTAGAAGATATGAACTGGTTTTATCCTGTTTTATTTCCCCCTCTCACCAGATTTGGGCAAATTTGTTCAGACCTCTGTGATAGAGGTGTTTTGAATGCTGTCCTCCAAGACCGAGTATTCTGGGTTGTATAAGATAATTCCAAATTCAGAGTAGAGGTTGTTAATTAAAATGTATTAGTAAGTTTCATTCCAAGTATCAATATACAACTTTTTAAGCTTTAGATGATGTTAGGAAAGTAGCTTCATGTCAGTATCACCTCCTAATTTTAGCTTGTTTAAAATGAGGGAAAGTGTAGGATATCTTTAAAAGCAGCTTTGATAATAATGAAAGAAACAAAAGTTAAATTGTCTCTTAAATACGTAAAGAAGAAGAAATCAATAGAATCAATAGAAGTAGCAACACATGAATGAACAAATTCATTTGCTATGTCCACATTATTTTCAGTAATGTAACTTAAAGGAAACTTTTAAGTTACATTCCTGAATTCACACTGGTCACATGCTATGAGGCCCAAATTAGCAAGATAGCATATGCTGGTATTTGTGGAACACCTATTGTTAATTTCACACTTGTGCAATATTAAAGAATATTAAGCTCATTCAATTTAAAGAATTCCAAGCCACTTTTACATAATTTTAAACCTGTGACTATATCTTCAGATTTTTGTGAAGGAACTAAAATACCAGATGATGACAACAAGTTAAAGATAGGGTAGAGTTTGGAGGAAGTAGCCAGAGAAGATCGCAGGATACCCATTGTATTATAAGTGTAAATGTGTGTTTAAAACTAAATACAAATAGAGGATAGTAGCTACACCAAATTGCCATAAACCTGTGAACTAAAGCCCATTGATTGGATGCTCATAGAAGCATGTACTACACTAACTCTGGGTATTGCTCTTTGTAGCAAACACAAACCAGGAAAACTTCCCTTTCAGTGATCTGCCTTGCCTCTGGACAATTGCTGCCTTGCCTTGCAGAGCAGCAATTGAAATTAGTTACTTGATTGTATGTTTCTCAAGTCGCTCCTGTCATGGAAAAAATTGTACATAGGATTAAAGTGAAGCACAGCATGAACAGGTTTAGCTCTCAAATATTGGAAAAACCAAGGAGAAACATTTTATGCTAAAATCAAAGTTCTTGCTATAAATTTTAGCATTAAAATTTCATCAAAATTTCCCATTTCTAAGATATTCTATTAATAATGGAATATCCATGCAGTCATGCTGGCTACATGGCCTTGTAGGTGCCTACAGACAATGCCGGCTCTTTGGCTTAGAAATGGAGTTGGACATGACTAGACTTAATGTCAGGGAAAACTTCACCTTTACTTAATGGATTCTGACATTAAAAACTATTATAGTTTGAAAACTTGAGTGTCATTTTTAAGTGCCTAAGTACCAAATAAATCATATATTTAGTTGACCGTAAGAAAGTGGGACTTGGTGCAATGTCAGGGTATTGTGGATATTTAAGCAAAAATCTGAAGTACAAATATGATTTGGCTTTCTGGATATCGGTTGTTTTCTTCCATTATCAGATTACTGTTTCAAAGAGTCCTTGGTGGTATGACAACTGGCATTCTGCCTCTTAGGCTTGAATACATTAATGTAGTAACCTGGGATTTTAGCAGATCATTTCAACAAGAGAAATGTTGATCTTTTAAATTGAACTTTAATGTGAAGAGAAAGGTTAAAAAATCCATGAGCTTGGCTTCCCAAAATCTCTCTAACACATGTATATTTTAAATCGTTTTTTTTTTCAAAAAAAAAATACCATGTATATATTAAATTAGTCTCTTAATAACTGAATGTATGAAGTAGAACTAAAGATTTTTTTGATCTTCACTTCATTTTCTCTTTCTCTTTTTTAGAAAAAAGAAATCCACACAATGAAAAAGGTTAGTAACTGACAAATTAATTGAAATCTTTTAAAATCATTCAAATTTCCAAGACAGCCTTTGCTCCAGATCTCAAATAATAAGACTATAAATGTATAAATTATAAATCAGCTAAGTTTGTAAAGGGAGTAGGTGTTCTTAGTGAACCACAACATTTGTTTTTAAGATACTGGGTTTAATTTTATCTAATTCTTCTATATCTTTTAGTTGCAGAAAAATGCCTTCATACTACCTTAAAAAAATACTGAAGAATTAGCAGGAATATATGGGGAGGGGAGAGAACTGTCTTGAAAACCACTGTAGTAATAGATGTACAACCAGGTGATAAAATATGGCTTAGCTAAAAAGAAGGACACATACAAAAATTTCACATACTGATTCAATCCAGAGTCATGCAGGAAATAATGTTGTGAAAATTGTATGTTAAAGGTCCTATTTCAGAACACACTTCATGATTACCAGAAAACAGATTCTGGTGAAATATTAGCGAAAACATCCTAATGGCAAGAGCTGTTGAACATTGGACTATTTCACATTGGAACACAGTGAACTACTTAAAAAAGGCTTTAAAACAGAGGTTAAATGGCCATCTCTCAAGAGTGCTTTAGTGATTGGTTCCTGCATTGGTGGGGATTGGACTTGATGGCCTGTGGTGTATCTTACAACTCCTATCTCTGTTTTCAGTTTTGTCACTGTTGCTGTCAGTTGGATGAGACATGTTTCCAACTTAAGTTATGGATATTTATAGTCGAAATATATAGTTCAAATTTATAGTTTGGATGCGTAGTTTCCATACGTTGGAACCAATAATGAGAAGCAAATGAAAGGTGGGTGCAGCATTGTGATAGAAATAATTTCCTACAGCTTTTATATCCTTATATGAGTCCTGATGGAATTCAGATTAAAAGTATCATTCCTTTTATCTTGCTATTGTGTACATTATGTTACGCTGAACTGAAGTCTTCCAGTAAATACACATTTATATAATTGTAGAGATCAAAGGAGCATTCAAGGTGATCTACTCTGCGTCCTTGAGTGGTGACCATCTGGTCTCTCTTTGAATAACTCTAGTTATTGAAATAACTCTAGGTTGGATTACTGTAACACACTCTACGGCCTGGAAACTGCAATTGGTCCAAAGATCTGCAGCCAGGCTGCTAACGGCAGCTAGCTACAGGGAGTGGTTGAACATCACTGGCTTCAAATAAGTTTCCAGTCCCAATTCAAGGTGCAGCTTATTACCTAGAAAGCTCTAAACAGTTTGGGACCTGCCTATCTTCGCGATTGCATCTCCCCTTACGAACCAGTATGGTTCCTAATAACATCAGGAGAGTCCCTTCCCTCACTTCCGCTGCCATCTCAAGCACGGTTAGTGGGGACGAGGGAGAGGGCCTTCTCGATGGTGGCCCCCCGGCTCTGGAACTACCTCCCTAAGGAGATCAGACCAGTGCCCACTTTGTCCACTTTCCATAAGAACCTAAAAACCTGATTGGTCCATTGCGCCTTTGATTAAGCAGTTCATCAGAGAATGACTTGACTCTATCTATGCTCTTGCACTTTAGCTTGGCCCACCCCACCAATCTCCACTTCATTGCCAAGATATTCTTTCTAGTTTGGTACACTTGAATTTTGCACTTTCCCTCAGCTCCACTTAAGAATTCATTGCATTACCTGGGCCCAGACCCAGCCCGATTCTGTTTTTCAGCCTTGATACTGTTTTAATGTTGTTGTGATTGTGTTGTGTTTTTATTTGATTGTTTTTAATGCTGTTGTTTTTACCTGTGATTTGGGTTTGTCCCCATGTAAGCTGCCCCAAGTTCCCTTGGGAAGATGGTGGCAGGGTGGAAAAATAAAGTAGTAGTAGTAGTAGTAGTAGTAGTAGTTGTTGTTGTTATTGTGAAAGGGAACCTACAACCTTCTGACACAGATCCTATCCTCTCAATTGCTAAGCAATTGTCCAGTGTTGATATCCTGTCTCTTTGAGGTTGTTTATAAAATAAGGAAGTCCATGAAACTCAAGTCCACACCTTTTTAAAAGTCTCATTCTTTGGAATATTTAGCTGAACTGCCTGCGAGGAGATGAACTTCAATAATGTTGACATAAATGTTCCTTCTCAACATAAAAAGTTATTAGGAGAAAGGAATATCTGGACTTAGATAGAAAACTGCATTAAATCTGCTATTCCAACCAGCTTTTTATGTGTGTTCCTTTGGCCACTAATACACTGTTAAATGATTCATAATTAAATAATTTAAATATATTGCACATCTAATGGTTTCTTTATTTATCAACTTGAGGGAACTAGTTTTGAGTATCAGAATCAGGAAACATTTTGAGTAGTGACTGGTCGCTTTCCTCATAACAAATACTGGATATTTAAAGACATTAGAAATTAGAGAAGAGAGTTTCTTTTAACACGTTTTCAAAATCTAAGTCCATGTCAGGCACAAGAGAAAAGTGGGATTAAAATCTAATAAATAAAAATAGCCAAATAAAAGAATAGTCATCATAGTTTCTTTGAGAGATGTTCAGGTTGCTTTTGTTTTTTAAGTTTTGATTTTTTTGTCCTTTTTTTCTCTTTGGAATTTTTTTTACTGTTCTTCTTACTGTTACAACTGGATTTTGAGGCTAAGAGTACAACTGCTAGGTCCATGATTGCACTGATAACATTCCAAGTCCTCCAACTCATAATTTTAGCCATATTTGACTACAAGAGTTAGCATTTCAAAGCCTTATTTTAAGTCATCTGGGTATAGAAAAATTTCCTCACGAAATAGAAAATATAACAAATCAGAATTTCTGAGGGCTAGATCATGATTCTGTTGGTAACCTTCAGCAAGTTAAAATATTAGCAAATGATTTCAGTAGAAAGTGGAATCATTTCTGTAAGATAAGTTTACTTATATCAGAATCATCTTTGTTTTATCTTGAGTGTAATTTTAGAAGACCAGAAATAAGTGCTGCTTTAGTGCAGTTTTTGCACTTCAGATTTATTCTTCACCTCTCTTTGTGGCTGAAGTATGCTAGATATCATTTTGTGACCTTATTCAGTTAGTTCTCCAAGTGGGTAAAGACATCATTCATAGAATCATATGCTTGGAAGAGACCTTAAGGGCTATGCAATCCAACCCCCTGCCATGCAGGAACACACAAATCAAAGCACTTCTGTATGTAAAGATAGGGCTTTCTGTGCTCCCTACTCTTTAACCTGAGTCATAAACTAACTTTTGAGTTCACTTTGCTGCATACTGTTAATATAGGAGTCTAGAACTATGAAATTTAACCTTTTCTTTAGCAAATTTATAAGAAAACAAACAAACATTGCAATATCGCAGTGTTCTTCTGGAGCTGCTGTTTGCAATTGGATCTAATTATTTATATCTTGTTAAAGCTCTTCTAGAACATGGCCATATAGCCCGAAAAACCTACAACATCCAATGCTTACCTGTTTTCTGTTGCTCGGATTTTTTAAAAAATGTCTAGCATGATACAAAGATAGCAGAATTTACTCTGTCAATTATTTCATAATATTTCCAGGTGGAGTACTGGCAGTTACAGTATGTGTGAATATCCCAATTCTGCCATTATGTTTTGAAATTTACTAATCTGTGGTTAGCAGTAAGAGAAGCACAAAAGCAGAGCATGATATGCTCACATTCAGTGAAAGAGCAGCTGTGGTTTAACTTATCTGTTCAAGAACATCCTCTTGTGAATAGGAAAGCTGCAGTACAATTTCTCTTGCATTAAAGCTTGATAGAAGTTGGCACCTCAATTTGTGTTTCTCTATTAGGCCAATGCTTTGTGGTATATTTTAACAACATTCAGACCTGCCTTTCTAGCTGTAGCCTGTTCTTTGTTTGGCACAGCACTATTATTGACGACATTCTCTGAGTAACACTGTGACACTGACAGTGCTTTTATGTTCCTGTACATTTTGTAATGAACTGATTTACCACTCTTTACAAAATATTACCACAACTATAGCTCTAAATGTTAATAAATATGACTGGTTGTGCAAGGTGCACATCTTTACAACGTCTGTCCTCCTCTTTCTATATGTCTTCAGTATTGAAAATGTTGGTTTCAGATATTTTATTATTCAGTCCAGTTTCCAGATGATTAGTTCCAAATTTTTCATATTTAATTCCAGAAGAGTTTACAACATTGAAGTACCGGTAAAGATAGATAGATAGATAGATAGATAGATAGATAGATAGATAGATAGATAGATAGATAGATAGATAGAGAAAGAGAGAGGGAAAGGGAGAGGGGTATATTTAAAGTGAGATAATCTTCAAGGTTAAAATGAGTCTGTTGTTTGTTAGCTTATGACATAGAATCAAAAAGTTGGAAGAGGCCACATTGGCCATCCAGTCCACCACCTGCCAAGAAGCAGGAAAATTGCATTCAAAGCACCCCCAACAGATAGCCATCCAGCCTCTGTTTAAAAGCCTCCATAGAAGGAGCCTCCACCACACTTCGGGATAGAAAGTTCCACTGCTGAACAGCTCTCACAGTTAGGAAGTTCTTCCTAATGTTCAGGTGGAATCTACTTTCCTGCAGTTTGAAGCCATTGCTCCGTGTCCTAGTCTCCATGGCAGCAGAAAACAAGTTTGCTCCTTCCTCCCTATGACTTCCCCTCACATATTTATACATGGCTATCATGTCTCCTCTCAGTCTTCTCTTCTCTGGGCTAAGCATGCCCAGCTCTTTGAGCCGGTCCTCATAGGGCTTGTTCTCCAGACCCTTGATCATTTTAGTCGGCCTCCTCTGGATACATTCCAGCTTGTCAATATCTCTCTTTCAATTGTGGTGCTCAGAATTGGACACAGTATTCCAGGCGTGGTCTAACCAAGGCAGAATAGAGGAGTAGCATGACTTCCCTGGATCTAGACAAGTGAAAAGGAGAGAGAAGAGGCCACATGATGGTACAGGAGTGCTGAATGAAGTGGTAGGAGGTGCTCATTTTAGGTTATCTTAAACTCAGATGGTAAAATTG